GTTCTTGTACGTAACCTGCTATGATTTATACACCTTCTTTTCTTTTTTGTTCTTTACGATTTTCAGGTAAATCGAACTACGTTTTAGGAACCAGAACGAAAAAAAAAGAAGAAAATAAAAACGAAACGAATGACGTTGGTTACTTGTCACAATAATTAACCTGCGTATCTTCGATTTTGAACTGATCTTAGTGGTTAAAAAAAAAACGAGTGAGAGAGAGACGACCCTTTTGCCGAATTCTCGACTTTTCTTTTTCATCGTTGAAAACGGGCCGAAACACGGAGAGATGTAAAACGCAAGGTGTAGGTAGCTCGACATACGTGTCCCAGATCTTGGAAGATAGCGAAACGGTCGGAAACGTTCGATCAAACGTGCCGAACATTTTTTTTCTTTCTTTCTTTCCTTCTTTTTTCCTTTTTTTTTATTGTTGAAGTTATACCTCTTTTAGCGCGTTCGAAAAAAAGACACACCGCGAGCGAGTTCAATTCTAAAAATGATCAAAATTCTCTATGGAAAATAAAATGATCTTACAGGATCACACGATGACCGAAGAAGTGGCATACAAAATCATGCTACCTCCTTGTACATTGATGTTATAGTAACACCACATACTAAAGGAATATGCTGCAAAGAATAAAATTTGTATGCTACCTTTTCGGACATCATACAATCCTGCAACAATATTTTATTTTCTATAGAATTTTGATAATTTGTAGAATTGGGTCACTCGTGATGGTGTGTTTTTCACAAATGTGCCAAAAGAAGTATAATTTCTTACGTGCGTGCATAAATATTCACACACACATACCCAATGTTTTTTCTCTTCAACTTCTTTTTCTTTTTCTTTTAATGGAAAATGAGAATTATGGGAATGCATGTAGGAACAAGGGATAACGGGATGAATTCGGATGAGAATCGATGGGCGTGTTTACTCGCGAGAAAAGTATATAACGTTTGAAATTGTAGAAGAAATTTGCACGCCGTTTTTAAAAGTACGAGCCTTAAATTTGTATCCAGTGTAGGGCCCGGTGCCAAGAAGAGCCTAAACCCTGTGCGTTAGGTGCCAAATTCACAGGGTCTTTCTTTTTTTTTCCATCCCTCCCCCATACCGTTTGGTACACTAACACTAACAGTAGAATCCCATTCCAAAAGAAGGTAGCAGGAGGATCACCGAGATTTGGCGACAAGATGCCGGAATTTTAACGAAACCCCGTGAACGAAGGGAATACGAGGAGGACCGGTTTTCTTGATAACATTGGGCCCCCATTGTTATCGCTTGTTCATCGCTCGTTCGCGTTGGAAGAACTAATTAAGAGACCCTAATTAATAAGCCTACCTATACTTTTATCCTTTGATTTTTTTTTTCGAAAAATCTTTTACCTTTCAATTTATTCGGATACAAACGGTGCGTTTGCTTTCATTTATCCTTTTCCTTTTTTACTTGTTCTTTTTTTAAAACCAAATCCGCATTGTTTAGAAAATATGTTTTTTTTTTGCATCAAGGTAAAATTTATATAAATAACTCGTATGTATTACGAGAATTAATATTCTATATATATAAAAAGGGAAGAAACAAGAAAATATTTCAGAGAGGTTTTTCTGAAATATTCGAAAATCGTGAAGAATGTAATGACGTTAGCTGACAACTATCAATCCTTCTTACGTTTCCCATCTTATTTTATGTTTTTTTTCCTTTATTTATAGACATTCGTACGCAATTCTCAACGCGTGTCGACAGAATTTTTGTTGCATGCCGAGCAAAATAATAATACAAAAAAAAAAAGAAAAAAACTCTAAACTCGGCGAATAGTTTGGTGGGAAGCACGCTTGTCGCGAGTAATAATAATCGATTGATAATTAATTATCTCGTTGTTGGGCAGAACAGCAGACGTAAGCCAATACCATCACCGTCATCAAAGTTTCGTCGACAGAATATTTCTCGCGTATTCGTTCGCGAACGAGAAGACGTATCGCTTTGAAATTTTACTTTCGAATTCGTATAACTCAACACACAATAATATTCGGTTGAATTATAAATTTTTTTTTATAAATTCGGTGAAAGGAATTGAGGAGAAATAAAAAAAATTGTATATTGAAAAATAAACAAGTTCGTTTTCTTTTTTTTTTTATGAACTCGCTAAGAATATTGCAGATTTTTATCGCAATGCGAAATTGAGAAAGAAGATCGTAGGATAACGTGGTAATTTTTAATTACGATGATCGAAGAGAATCTCTCAGTGAGAAAGGATCAAGGCCGGATTTACCGTTCGAGAAAAGATGGTCCTTTTTTTAGTTGCTGGTTGAACGATGTACATAATATTGACGTTCATTGAAATACATTAATAATAAAATGTTAGTGCCGTTGACTCTCACGACAAAACAAACCTTACCTCGACTGGGAGTAGTTGCGCAATTGAAGTTGTCTTAGTTGGCTCGTCATCGAATTGCTATCGAGAATCCAACGCCAAAGGCATATTCTCTTCTTCTTTTTATTCTTCTTTTTTATTTTTCCATCTACATCGAAATTGAAATAATACAAAAATTGAATAACCAAATGTAAAGAGTCAGCAAACGAAATGTATACAACTTTATTATAATTCTTTTCAAAATCTACAATCTAGTGACATTCGAGAGTAACATAACTATGGTGTTGAAGTGTGACAATGAGAGTATACAATCTAGTGAAAGTGTATCGAGTTGCATTAGGATGTAAAATTGCATCCATACATATATAACATATGCATGATATATCATTCGCTATTTATTAAACAATCTACCTTTAATTTAACAGAATAAAAATGAAAAAAAGAAAACATTCTACAGAATGATTACGGTGATACGATTATTAATCGATTTATCTACGTCGAGTGTAGATAAAAATAAAAGATAAAGAGATAAATAGAAACAAGAATTGACAAATCCATACAAAAAAAATCATATTATAAATAAACAAACAAACAAACAAATAAATAAAAGTTATAAAAGAGTATGAGAAAAGTAAAAATAAAAGTAGGGTTGAGAATGTTGAGTGGCGGGGGCGTCATGGTAAAAGTGGTAGGGATCTGGTAGTAGACAGTGGGGTGGGGAAGAAACAGGCGAATGGAGGGGCAGCCGCGTGCACGATACGAGTGGAGGGGTGGCAGGAGAGGGGTGGGGGTAGGGTCTAGGCGAGCAGCAAGAGGGCAACGGCGGCAACCAGGTAAGCGAGAAGCGAACAACACGCTAGTAGGGCTGACTCGCGCCGCTCAGAGTCTCACACGGCCCAAACCCGATACCGTACTTTATTCTTATTCTTATTCTTCATCGTCATCGAAACGTGTCGTTGTTGTGCGGTGACCATCGATTCGATATTATACTGGTCGCCCTTAGTGATCATCAGTTCAGCCCTTAACCCAGCCCTCTCATCTGAGGTGGATACGAATTCGTACGAGACCCCAATAAAGTGTTGTTCTATTCCGAAATATATAAATATAATTGTTGATTTGCCATTCAAGTTTTGATATTAATCTTGTTCAATTTTATGGCATACATTATTGGTGGATTATTTTGATTAATTGTTCGTCGTACGTGAAAAATAAAAGTTTGTTCTGTGTGTATTATATATATCTACATACACTTTTATTTTTCTTTTTTCGCATTTCATTATCTGTTTTGTTTTTTTCGGTTTCTTTTCGTTTTCGTTACATATCCCAACGATCAATTTACGATTCATCTCGTATTACGAATAGTGGAATAAGTTTATCGATGGCTGCTTGCCGAGATACGACGAGACGTTTTCACCCTGAAAGAAGACGACACCCTTGGAGAGGATAAACATCCGATTCAATAGCCAAACTGGAATTTAGTGTTCGATACTTTGGTGATTTATTTGCGAGGTGGTGCATAATAATCTGAGTATAAATTAAAGAAAAGAAAATAAACGTTTTATTTCGGAGTGATTGAGGATTTACAAAAAGAAAGAGAGAGAGAGGATCGGATAATTGTGGAAATTAGTGGAAAATTTGTTGATAAGTGTGTGAAAAAAAAAAAAGGATAGGGAAGAAGTGTGAGAGGATATAGTGAGGATAATAATAGTGTACGAGATAACAAGAGAAAAATTAGAAGATAAAAGAAGAATTAGCGGGAAACGCGTGTTTTTTAGATGCGTGGAATTTGAAAAGAGCAACCACCCACTGGCCAGCCCGACGCAATGCGTCGACGCTGCTGACGCAACGCGCCTGGATGCGTCTCACTCTGAGAACGTGAGTGTGTTTTCTAAAAAAAAAAAAAACAAAACGAAAAAACAATACAGTAGTTAGAAAAAAAAATAGATAGATAGATAGATAGATAGAGAGAGAGAGAGAAATAAAGATAGAGATAGAAAGAATTAGAAAAGGGCAACAGTGATAGTGAAAGTTGTAACCGGTTTAGTGTAAAACAACCCCCTTGTTGGAAAAAGGGGTGTAGGATCATCAAGGTGTTGTTGTATCATCTTTATTACTACAATATTATTATTATTATCATCTTGATTATTTCGTGAATTGAAATCGATTTAGTTAGAATGATTCCACGAGGATTTAAAATTCGGACGATCTCTAAATCGTCGCCCCCACGTTACTCGGACACTTGATGCCAATTTTTGTTGTTCCTTTTTGAATGATATCGAAAGAAGATATTATAAAAAGAATAAAAAGAGATGCTCGGGTTGGGTCGAGTCATCTCTATTTATTTATCGCATGTTACTCGCCGGTGATGATAATGATGATGATGATGATGATGATGTTGATGTTGATGATGATCGTGGCGAGTACACGCTCGTGTTGGTAGTGGTAGCAGTAATAGTTGATGGTGGTTTTGGTGGTGGTGGTGGTGGTGGTGGTGTTGGTGGTGTTGGTGGTGTTGGTGGTGGGTCGCGAGTGCGCACGCGACTTCACAACTTGCTGAATGATCCTGGGAGTCCCGGTTAAACGAAGCTTTGAGGGTACACGATCATTGGGATGACGTCTGCTTCGGATCACGTGCACCCTTCACGATCGTCCTCGTCTAACGCGCTACCAAATGTAAGTTTTTCGGCTACCCACACCACCTAACTATTACGGCCAATCATATCAATCGATAAATAATATTGCAAATTAATTTCAAATGTCGTTAGAGTGAAAGATAATAATGCGAAAAGTTTGACTTGCATAACGGTATACCGATGGTGTGTGCAGTGATTCTCATTCTTGGTGTTTTCCTTCATTCTCAATGACCCTTCTTATTTTATCTCTCTCTCTCTAACGTTTGTACTTCATCAAAAGGGGAGATGTATTTTAAGGGATGCAAAGAAAAATAATCGGACAGCAGGCTGTTCTAATACGACAGTTAGAAGGGCTGCAAAGATTTAATGCAGGATTATTGTACGTACCCGTATTTTAATAGTGCGGCGAACCGAAAACACTATCTCTCATCCTTCACCCTTATTCTCATTCTTCTTCGGCTCGTATTCATCCGAAGGTAGCCCGATGAACGCCTAGAACGTAACCCCCTCGTATATCGTAAGGTACGATCATGAGTTTCACTTACCAGCCCTGTTGAGGCTTCCCTTAACAACCCCTTGTAAGAATATCTTTCTCTTTCTATCGCATTTATTATGTTCTTTCGTATGGGAAACTAACGTCGTTGCTTACAATCGATCAGGATTATTTATCCTTTCTTAGTAATCTATTCCCTTGCATTTTTTTCTCTCTCTCTCTCTGTTGAAAAGAAAAAGGGAAGATTATTTTATACACCAACAACAACAACAACAACAATGTATATAATATTTCAAGATAAAAATATTGAAATAATGCGTGAATGAAATATGAATTTGGGTAAATAAAAAAAATGTTTAGTTGAAAATTGAACGATAGGAAAATTTGAAGAAGGTTATAACCAATGATGATACGACCTAGAAACTCTGATAGACTATTTCGAGAGTCGAAGATAGAACGTCACGATTTATCTATCAATGATTTATCTATCGGGCACGTGCACGAGCCAAACGAGCGCCCGGCGCTCTTATTCTTCATTGTATAGGAGGAGGAAAAGGTGGTGGTGGAGGTGGTGGTGGTGGTGGTGGTGGTGGAAGATGAAGAAAAAGAAGAATCGATTTATTTTATACCGATCAGTGTGTAACGTTAGGTGCTGCTGCCGACGTTCGAGTTCGAGTAAACACTCGATCGATGAAGAATTTGTTCGATTATCGGCTGGCGGTTGTTCGATTGTCGGTTTAAAAAAAATCAGACGATAGGTTTGCCGATAAGCTGGCATATTTTAGATAAGCGAAACGCGCAATTAAAATGCCTTATGCATGATGAGTACCGATTGATTAGGCAACTTATTATTCTCCTTTCTTTTCCCCCTACGCCACCAATTGATTTTCTTCATTATTCTTTTTCTTTGTGTTTATTTCATTCATTTTTTTTCTTTCCCCCCCCCTCCCACCTTCCCTCTTTATTTTTAATCCAATTCGAATATATTTTCTTTACTTAAAATCACGTTGCATCCGTTGTTCACGTATTTTACCAAATTATTATAACGATACGATTAAAATATGCTTATTATTATTTTATTATATAATAAAAGAAATTATTATTCGGATAATATTAAATAATATAGACGTAATTTATTCTTATTTGTATATTCTCATTGGAATATAATCGAGTAGATTTTCAGAAAAAATTCCTGATCTCTTGTCCAAATAATTTTGATCACCTATACGATTTAATCATAATTAATGGACATCACGAAATGCATTATTAAAAAAATACAAGATATACCTATGTATAACGATTTAATATTATTTTATTATAGAATAAGAATTAAACTCGTCGATTATTATTATTTATGCATGCATATTTATGATGCACATTTTAAAAAAAAAAACAAGATATATACCTATGTATAACGATTTAATATTATTTTATTATAGAATAAGAATTAAACTCGTCGATTATTATTATTTATGCATGCATATTTATGATGCACATTTTAAAAAAAAAAACAAGATATATACCTATGTATAACGATTAGAATTGAACCTGAATTTTATCCCCTCGTACTGTATAACGAAAACAACGATAACAACAAAGACGTATATATATATATACGATAAACCTTTCACGAGTCGCTGCCTTTGAAAGCATAATTTTCCGTTTTAACGGCTCTTCGGTTGGCTCTTATCTATGGGAGTAAAGCGTGTTTACCTCCAAACAAACGGCACGCGCGTATTCCTCGTCATCGTCATCCTCATCGATAGAAAGTTAACTCAATCGCGTTGTTAATTTCCGGTTATTAAAGTTCATAGAAGAAAAAAATAAAAAGAAAGGAAGGCAGGGCAGGGCAGGGCACGTTGCGTTCATTGATTCGAGAAAAACCGATGATTCTCGACGAAAATCACCTAACCAGAATCTTTATTCGGGTCAACAACGATGTTTACGACCTGTACGCGTTCGAAAAGACAAAGATGAAGAAAATCTAGAAGAAGAATAAGATGATAGAGTGCAGAGAAAGACAGAGAGATGAAGTAAAAATAAAAAAATGAAAAAATAAAAAAGAAAAAGGCAAGTTTTCCTTGTTACGACCTCGATGACGAAGATAGCAGCAGGTGGGAGTACGTCAAGAGTATCTCTCTCTTTTTCTTTCTTTCTTTCTTGTTCCTTCTGTTCTCTCCTCTCTTATCTCACTCACTCGTTCTCGACCTACGCCATGTACTGGCAAACATTGTAAATCGCACACCACGGTACGTGTGCTAATATGAATAACGAGCGAACAGAGGAAAGATTTTAGCGTGCACCCCACCCCTACTCGATTCTCATCGATTTTACTCGATTCTCTTGCACTTTGTTCGAGAGTTAGAAACAACGTTGAGGAGGATACCCGACAACTCTGTTCGATCATTTTTTTATAATCGTTAAATCAGTAGTATTTTTTTCTTCTAATACAGGGATGAAGAGAGAGAGAGAGAGAGAGAGGAATCTTGATTGTCTCAACTTTTATGATCTTACAAATCTTTTTTCATCGTCTATTTTTATCATTTTTTTTTTCTTAAATAATCGTCTTCTTTATGATCGCGTTAATCGTTCCTAACTTGTCGGAAGTATACGCGAAACGTTGTTTTTTTTATCTTTACGGAAATCTAATATCCTTCTCACGAACGTCAAGGTGTACAAGAACTTATGGTTAATTCATTTGCTAGGTTTTTTATTTTTTTAATTCTCAAGAATATCTTTCTTCGAATCGTCTATCTATTTCTACTATTATTACTTATTGTCTGATGCAATACACCTTCTTTTTTTCTTGTTCAATATTTATTTACATTTTTTTTTCATTGGAAAAGATCTCTCTCTCTCTCTCTCGACGACAACGACGAGAATAAAGTTTTAAAGTGGATGTAACGCAATTAGGGTGGGGAATCGATCGAAAACGTTGAAAGCATCCTTTACGAAATTTCAACGTTCTCTTTTATCGAATCATTCTCTTTCCTGTTGATGCAATTTTAGGAAACAGTATCAGGTTTTTTCGTTTTTTAATGAAGTTATTCGAATTCTTAGTCTAAAATTGATCAATCGAATTGTATCTTATATCGAAATATTTTCCATAGAATGATATTACTTTGAGATAATTTATTATTATTGTTATAATTTGATAATAGAAATTAAAATATTTATAAAATGTGAAATATTCGTAGAGTGTAGTCAACTTACGACCTCACGATCTGATTAATTGATAATTCATTTAAAAGCCACTTAACCCGATGCCCGTTACGATGGAAAAGAGAAAGAGAGTCAGTAACTTTACGTTGGCTCTCGTTCAGAGTCAGAAGCGTTCGGAACAAAGTATTCGACCCTTTTGGTCCCTAATAGAAGATCCATTACCTTTATCGTCGTCCTTGTCTACGAGTTGCCGGGTCAAGCAAGCAAGCAAGCAAGCAAGCAAGCACTTTGTCGCGTCTCGTTCAACCGAGAAAGTTATGAGAGTAAAGTCCTGATTTTCCCTCGTGAACTCGGTAATTTGGTCAATTACAAGGTTCGATAACGTGCTAAGTAAAGGTATTCGTTTACGAGTAAAAGATAATTTTGTTCTTCTCCTTGTATAACTTTCGACAGGTGTATATTTTTCTATCTTCTTTATCTTTCTTTCTTTTAAAGTCACTTAAGATTTTCGATCTTTTAGAAAAACCCCTTTATAGATTTCGGTCAATAATTTCGGCATTTCAAACTTTTCGATAAACGAGAATGAAAACTTTTCATTGTATCGGTTGTCTCAAGTAATGTCTATAAAAATGAAATCTAAAGAAAGATAATACAATCGAGATGAGGTGGATGGGGGGAACAGGTAAATAAATGTCACCACCACCACGTTGTTGCATTCCAAAGATTTCTTTGCGAATGGATTGGTCGACGAGCAACGATTCTTTAAACGTCATAGAAAATTCTTCTTAACCGTGCCGAGTAAGAATACAAAACAACAACAGAAAAAAAAAACAAATTAAGCAAAAGAGGGTTCGTTCGTACGACCGCGAGAAACGACAAACACGTAGCAAGGCGTAATTCTACGCCTGAGTTGTGGGTATCGTTTGTTCAATTCTTTTACTAACTAATACGCTAGAAAGTTATTATCGAGCACGTACGCATAATTCTCGTAGCCCGATAACGCGCGTTACGCTTTAACTCGCGCGATTGCCATCGAAACTTATGAGAAGTAAGAGGAAGGAAGGGAACAACTAGGTGCATGCGTGTATGCATGCGTGCATACTTGAATGCGTGAGTGCATGCATGCACGGATCGAATCAACTTACAAAGACTCCGAGCGGTTCGTTTCAAACAGAAATCATCATCCACCTCCTCCTCCTCCTCCTGTTATTTCTTTTCTTACTTGTGCATAAGATTCTTTTGAAAATAATAATCAACATAAAAGGGGAATACAAGATCTTGACGGTCTTGTTTAATCGATTATGGTTTTCTTTGCCCACGTGACACACCTTGGCGCCAGTTGTTCATTCGTTCATTCATTTGTTCACGTAAAGAGTAAGATTGCTGCATTTTCAAATGCCATTTAATCCAAGATAAATCAATCAATCTAACGTGCAATTCTCATTTTTCTGAACCTTTTGGGTGCAGAATACTTTTAACCGAATTGTTTTCTACGAATGAAATATTATATATCTAATAATTACAATTTTTCTTTTTAACAATATCTATATTTTCACTTGACAAGATACAACAATAAATATTACATTATTTTACACTCACATTTGATAAAAAAAAATACGCGCAGGTATGAACCCATAGTACTCAAAAGGGTTAAATAAAATTAAACAATCTCCCCCATCTTCCACCCCTTATAATAACCCAAAGAAACAAAAGAAAACTATTGTTCCCCTCCTTCATACATTACTTTATTTTTCTCATTTATCGTTCGATATTTTCTCTCTCCCTCTCTCTCCCTCTTTCTTGTGGGGTCCGGTAGAACGTAAAGGGACGTTCGTGCACGCACGGACTATAGATCCGTGCCTATTAACGGGACTTCCGGGAAACGAGGAGAGTTATGCACCGAACGGTCGAAACTATCAAGTCAAAAGAAGAAAGATAGAATGAGAAGGGACGGGGTAGGGTGTGGGCGGGGGTGTGGGGGTGGTTTAGCCGCGAATAAATCGATAATTCTCTCTCTCTCTTTCTTTCTTTCTCTTTCTCT